TCCTGCCCCTGTTACCAACCAGTAACCTTTATATGTTTCACTCTCATGAGCCAAACAGCCAACCTCAGCCTTTGTGGGCTGTTTCTGTTCTGATGAACCTGATAGTAAGCTCAGATATGTGTTTACACACCATCCTGTTTCTCAAGAATGGTCACCTCATGAAATGCAGGGCAGTTTCCTTCCTCAGAACTCCAAACTCGTTGTCTTGGCCAGTTTTCTACCCAAAAGTAGCTGTCTCCATCCTTTCTCTTCCATTTTGTTTGATTTTTCATCTTTTACCACCTCACTTTAATGCTTTACTCATTTTACTCTCTTTTTTTCCCACTAAGGCCTGAGCAGAACACTGCACTCAGCCCCATCCCTCACCACTGTATCTGTATTCATCCGGTATGTGATTCCGTTCTTTCCACTTCCAACAACTGTGCAGCCTGTGGGTGACACTTTGCTGAAGGGAGGCACAACAAAGCTGTCTTGGCTACAGCTGTACATCAAGATGATTCTATGATTCTAAATAGAAGGATTTGGGCATGTAAGGAATCAGGCATCATAAAATCACAGACTGTTCTAAGGTCTTCCTGGTTCTCTTCTCCAGGCTGACCCAGCCCAGTTCTCTCAGCCTGACTCCAGAGCAGAGCTGCTCCAGCCCTTGCAGCAGCTCCATGGCCTCCTCTGGACTCACTTCAGCAGCTTCACCTCCCTCTTGTGCTGTTGCCCCAGAGCTGGATCAGGGCTGCAGGGGGGGGTCTCCACAGAGCACAGCAGAGGGGGAAAATCCCCTCCCTGACCCAGAGCCAATGCTCTGGGGTCAGACCCAGCTCACACTCTGTGGGTGCAGCCCAGCACATGGGGGGGTTCTGGGCTCAAGCACTCACTGAAGCTGGGTCATGGGGAGCTTCTCATTGACCAGCAGCCCAAGTCCTTCTCCTCAGGGCTGCTCCACCCAGTCTCACCCAGCCTGTAGCTGTGCTTGGGACTGCCCTAATAAACCCAGGGGCAGGACCTTGCCCTTGGCCTTGTTATCTCTGCTATCTGAAGTGATAATTTCTTACTGTAGAAATCCTGCGGTTCCCCACGCAGGGCCGTGCCTGTGTGGTGCACAGAGGAGGGAGTTCCCACCCACAGGAACTTGCACCATTAAAGCTCACAGAAGTTGAGAAACTCCTTCGCTCTACTGGCCAGGAGGACGTGTACCACAGGCACCAGAGGAGGGAACGGGCACTCCTGCCCCTGGGCAGCACAATGCCATGGCAGAGGGTGAACAAAGACGTATCTTGGGCCATCCCCAGTGCCCTTCATTAGTGACCAAATAAAACCCAACCTACAATGAGACTTTATGCTAGGAGGGGAGAATATACTTATGCTAAGAATATGCTTCATTGGAGAATGATGGGATGTGGAAAAAATAGTTAATAAATTACTGTAGGATCCATCAGGTCAGTAGTTTAATGATCATACCTCAGCCTCTACAACTATCGAGAACATGCTAGGGAAGGCTCAGATCTTCCTTCAGTGCCTCTTAAGCTCAGATACCTAACATTAAGATAAAATGTAAAAAAGGAAGAAGTAGAGCTGTGTTGAGAAACAGCAAATCTTTGGCTGTACCGAATCAGCATCATCACTGGGCAGCATTTCAGCCGCTTAGGAAATCTAACAGCCCATTTCCAGGACCTTGCAGCTCAGTGCTACAGTTGTGTCTTTTTTTAGATTACATTGACATTTTTTTCTGCTCTTGTCACAACTCTTTCATTTTCTTTCTATTTTTGTCATGTGTTTACAAGTGCTGGTCCTTCAGGGTTTCCTGCTCCCTCAGCCCTGTGCGGGCTGATGGCTTCAAACCCTGTCCCAGCCTTCTGAAGGGGACATGGGGCCAGGTGGTGAGGGGTGCCTGGTCTGTGTGCAGGCCCAGTAACCACTGAGAGCGTGTTGTGAGGAAGGGAATGGCTGGCTTTGTTCCATGCCTGCACACAAGTGAAGCACATCCAACCCCCAGGCTGCCATTTAGGACTTTAGATGGAACTTGAGGAAATGCAGGAACTGTGGAAGCACTGGTGCTGCTCAGGAAGCACAATGCCATACCACAGCATTCTGTTCACTGGAGACTAACAAGGACAGCACGTTCCCAGGGTCATTCCAGTGTTTCAGTCCTCCTCTTGGTGCTTTTTGTGCTGCTTGAAATGAAAAAGGCTGCTTTTGTGTCTTATCACCAGCTCGGCCCTGCAGACTGAGTCGAGGAGATGACTGGAATGTGCCTGTCAGAACACTGACAGTGCTGCCGGAACCAGGGCATTCTTCCCTGGCTTTGACTTATGACATCTGATAATCTGCTCTGAGCAGCTTCCTCCCATCCATGAATCATCCTGAAGAAGGATCCTTTCAATAAAAGCTCTTTTTCCAAAAGCTTTTGTCTAGAGACGTTCTCCAGTTTGGATCCAATTTGAAGCCTGCTTGCCTGGTAAAATTGGATGGCTCTGGATCAAACCTTCATAGAATCACAGAATCGCAGCCTGGCTTTAGTTGGATGGGGACCTTAAAGCTCATCCAGTCCCAACCCTTGCCATGGGCAGGGACACCTTCCACTAGAGCAGCTTGCTCCAAGCCCCTGTGTCCAACCTGGCCTTGAACACTGCCAGGGATGGGGCAGCCACAGCTTCTCTGGGCACCCTGTGCCAGCGCCTCAGCACCCTCACAGGGAAGAGCTTCTGCCTCAGAGCTCAGCTCAGTCTCCCCTCTGGCAGGTTAAAGCCATTCCCCTTGGCCTGTCCCTCCATCCCTTGTCCCAAGCCCCTCTCCAGCTTTCCTGCAGCCCCTTTAGGCACTGGAGCTGCTCTCAGGTCTCCCCTTCAGGAGCCTTCTCTTCTCCAGGCTGACCCAGCCCAGCTCTCTCAGCCTGGCTCCAGAGCAGAGCTGCTCCAGCCCTCGCAGCAGCTCCGTGGCCTCCTCTGCACTCACTCCAACAGCTCCACGTCCCTCTTGTGCTGCTGCCCCAGAGCTGGATCAGGACTGCAGGGGGGGTCTCCCCAGAGCCCAGCAGAGGGGCAGGATCCTCTCCTCACCCTCTCACCCTCTGTTCTGGTCTCAGCAGCTCTGCTGTGTCACGCTCTACCCTGTCCCTACGCGAGGCACCAGCAATCACCCCGCGCTGACCGGGAAGCCGTGATTTGCGTTGGGAGTTCAGACCTGGCTTTTCCTGGTGTCAGGGCGGGCCGGTGTGTCCGGGCGGTGACTGGTTTAACCGGTGGGTGTTTCCCAAGGGGAACCAGCCGGTCGCAGGCGGGGCTCCCCTTCCCCTCATTACCGGGCCGTGCCGGAGCCAACGCCGCCGCTCCGGGACCCCGGGCCCCGCCCACTTCCTCTCGGAGCCGGAAGTGCCGTTCTTCGGCGGGACGTGGCTGCCGGTAACCGGGGGCTTGGGGGCCGCGGGATGTGGTGGGGCTGGCGGTCACCGAACGCGTGTCCGGAGCAGCGGGGCTCGCGGTGGGGCGGGCAGGGCCTGGGGGACCGCGGGGCCGGTGGCGGCAGCTGTTGAGGGCCGCGCTGGGCCGGTGGCTGGAGGGGTTCTCGGGGCTGCGGGCGGGGGGCCGGGCTGGGACGGGACCTGAGCGGGGATGTCTGCTGCTCCTGCCCGGGGTCCCTGGGGGGAGAGCGCGGGGAAGACGAGCCCTGGAGTCCCCGAAGAGGGCCAGGGCTTGGCCGCGCTCCTCAGCAGCGTGTCCCACCGCAGAGCCGCTGCTGGGACCTGGCGTGTCAAACCCTTCCTCTGCGGTGCCCGGCAGCGTGCAGCTCCCGCCGGGTCCCCGCTCTGTGCCAGGTGGGACGGCAGGGCAGGGAATGCTCCTCATCCTGGGAAAATGAGTTCCCCGGCAAAAGTCTGGTTCCCTGTGAGGGTGCTGAGGCGCTGGCACAGGGTGCCCAGAGAAGCTGTGGCTGCCCCATCCCTGGCAGTGTTCAAGGCCAGGTTGGACACAGGGGCTTGGAGCAAGCTGCTCTAGTGGAAGGTGTCCCTGCCCATGCAGGGGTTGGAACTGGAGGAGCTTGAAGGTCTCTTCCCACCCAAACCAGGCTGGGATTCTGTGTCAGGGCTCTTTGGCTCATGCAGTGTGCCTGACATCATTAATCACGTCCTTGTAGTTGAGACCAAAGCTAGTGGGTCAGGAAAAGCGCATGATAGTGATCGGGAATGATCCCCTGTGCTGAGGATATTCCATGCTTGGGGTTATTCTCTTCTCCAGCTGAATATGCTTTTGGCCAGGGTCCACTCTCTTCCAAGATGTTTTTGACTTGGAATCAAGACTCCCATGGTTTGAAATGAGACATTTTTCCCCTTGTTGCAAACACACAGGCCTGTGCAGTTTTCAGCCTGACTCCAGAAGTTTTAAGGGCCAAATTAAATGTGTTACGAGAGGAAAACCAGCGATTCTGCTGCAAAGTTGTTGGGGTGGATTTTTTTCAGAGGGAAATTGTTTATCACAAGAATTGAAACCATTCTTGTTAATACCTGAACTTCTCTAACAATGCACGTAAGGGATGTGCTTTTGAATCGCCCTCACATTTGACTTGCAGTTAATTTTAGGAGGGGAATTGAGCCTAAAAGTGCTGTTAGAACTGCAGTCGTGGTTTGGTGAGCAGGTGGGAGGTGGCAGGGGAGGGCAGGCTGTGCTTTGCAGGCTCACCCTGGGCACTCTGTCTGGAGGAGTGCTGAGTGCTTCTGCCACGTAAGCACCACAGCTATTCCTTTAATAGTATGTTGGCAGACTGTGTTTTGGTTGCCTCTCCAGTTTGGACTGTCAGGAGATAGACTGGAAGCATTAAAGAGACAGCAAAAGCCAAGAGTTGAGCCCAGCTCTTCAGGAGCTGGATTTAAATAGGAAGCTTTCATACTAAACAGTACTCCCATCTGATTTTTATTGTCCTGGATGATACGTGGGGCCTCTCACTGAGGAACAGGGCTGCAAGTAGAGCAGCACGTTACAGGTTTCTTCTGAGGTGTGTGCAGGTGGCTTCTGGGTGTTCCCTCGAGGTTTAGCATTTGGGTGGTGGATAAATTGCTTTACATAAATCCATCTCCAGGCCCTGTGTGGTACAGGAAGGCTCTGTGTGTGTAGCTTCTTTTGTTGTGCTTTCAGTTGACTGACCTTGTAAAATACACCCTGTGCTGCCTTTGGTCTTCTGTTTGCTGAAGATAGGAACAAGTCATCACAATGCCGGCACTGCCTCTGGATGAGCTCCAGCTGACAGAAAAGGATCCCAAAACAGGGAAGATGAGAACTTTACCAGCACTGGTGAGCTGTCTTTTTCCTGAAAGCCAAAACAAAATCTTTAATAAATAAGTATCTCATGTTGAAGCTTGGGTGAAACTACCCTTTGTCTGGGATATGATGAAAGTTGGTTAGCTCACCTGTCACAAGAAGCTTTTTTTGTGGTTTAATGCATTCACAGTTGAGATTTCATTTGCCCACTCTTGTGGAAAAAAAAAAAGCCCAACTCAAACTCATTGTGTTCAACATCAACAGCAAACTGTGTCCTCCAGAGCTACTTATTTCAAGGAGCAGCAATGTAAATTTGGCTGCAATAGAGGGAATGCTTTGGGAGCTTTTGCAAGCTCTGTGTGAACTTAGCTCTGACCTATAGCACTGGGATAATTCCATGCACTCCCTGCATCCTGTGACAGTTCTGCTTAGTGAAATCAGGATATTTAATCCATGGTAATAACCCTTTTCTCCCAGAAATAAGAGAGAGAAAGCAGAGGGCCTTGTGGGCACATTGCAGAAGTGGGCTGCTGGCTTGAGGAGGTTCGCACGTACCTGGGTGTACATGTGGGTTAAGGCAGAGCTTCAAGCTGCTGCCTGCTCTTCAGTGTGATTCTCATTCTAGGCTGGAGTATTTGGGCAAAGCCTGTTCAGTAACCCTTGGGGGAGGGCAGTGAAATGTTTCTTCTCTCTGTTTGGTGGCTGTGTCAGTTTGACTTCATGGAATGTTGTGCAAGAACCAGTTAGGAGGGAAAAGAGAGCGCAGCCGCGCTTCGGAGGCACAGCACCACGCGGCTGCTGTTTGTTTTGAAGGTGTGGGAGGGCTGCTTTGCAAGGCTTTGTTTAACAGAGTGCAAGGAGCAGCATCCACCACATTATGAAGCAAGGCCTGAAAACATTGCTGATAAATAAGGATACAAACCTGCTGGTAACCCATCTCGAAAGCTTACAAAATGGGAAGTTACCAGGGAACTGAATGGCAAATTGTATTCAAGTGCAATTTTGTGTTGGTTTCCTAATTCAGTGAGCAGTGCACATGGTAACTGGGCATTCCTGTCTCTTGGTCTGTAGTTTTAATACAGTGTTTTGGCTTTCTGCAGCACCCAGAAATAAAAGCAGATCGGTCTTTTGTGCTATACAGACCGCCACCCCTCGCCAGAGACCCTGCTTTAGTGGAAGAGTTCTTGGAGAGAGCCAAATTCATTGCAGATGACCTGAACTGGCTTCTGGCTTTGCCTCATGACAAATTTTGGTGCCAGGTAAGAATTGTTTTGTGGACACTGAAGAAGGTGTTTCTAGAAGCCATGAACTTTAAACCAGTTTCATAAAGACTTGTATATGCTCCTTATGCACTTAATGACATGACCTCCCCCTGAGTCCCCAACGGGCACCATCACCGCACCAGCACCTCCCATCCTTGGAAGTGTTCACACACTGTGTAGACAAAGTCCTCAGCGCCATGGATTAGTGGTGGCATTGGCAGTGCTGGGGAATGGTTGGACTTGATGAGCTTAAAGGGCTTTTCCATCCTAACTGATTCTAAGATTCTGTGTTATTTGTCAAGCATTTTAATTACTGCACCTTAGGGTGCAAAGAAAGTCCCAGTAGATTTTCCCCTGTGGATTTGAAGAGTTTGCTTGTATTTGCTGCATGTGGGGCTCCTTTTAGCACTCTAGAATGTTTTAAATCACTTTCAACTTTAGGTGGCCTTCCCCTGAGCACAGCCTGTGGATGTGTGACGTTCTCTTCTTTGTTTCCTTGTTTCTGGCGGTGCAAGGTGATTTTTGATGAGACACTTCACAAGTGTCTGGATTCCTACTTGCGCTTTGCCCCTCGCAAGTTTGATGGGGAGCTGGATTGTCACCCCGAGGTGAGCGACATGCAGAGGGGCCTTCACCGGAGTGTCTTCCTAACCTTCCTCAGGATGTCCACTCACAAGGAGTCCAAGGTGAGGATTTCATTCCCTTTGAGTTTCCCTGGGCTGGGCAGCTTAGGAAAAACGCCATCAGAGGACTTAATGGTGTTCCTTGTGTGTCCAGCTGCGTTCCTCTCCCTGGCTGTTTTTATCAGCTTGTTTACTCTATAGAGATGATAACCACGCAGAGCTGAAGCATCTGAACTATGGGATGGTTTCTGAGGAAGGAGATCCAGGCAGGCAGCTCAGTAATAGCAGGTTAGCCACAGGTGGGGCTGTGATACATCCCTGGAAGAGCGAGCAAGCTGGCCACTCTGTGGCACAGGGGCTCAGTGCCACTTCCTCTGCGCTGTGCTGTGTCACATAACCTGTCCTGATCGCTGGCCTTCCTTGAACTTTCCCCAGGTTTTGGGGACACAGTGAAACTTCTCTAAATTACTGTTTTCTTGGCATGGTAATTGAAAGCCACGCTCAGCCCTAATCATGTGAGTGCAACTCCCATCGGGAGCTGTGGAATTTTCACAAGGCCTGTGGGCAGGATGGGTGAGTGAGCAAGGCGCCTTGTGTTTAAGCAATTACTCCTTGATATCCTCGGCTCATGGTGTGTTATTTAGTGCTGTATTGATTCTCTTGGTTGTCACAATGGTGACGTTCAGGATGTTTTGAGGAAAGCTCTTGGAGTGGGAGGTGGAGGAGCGGGGCAGGAGCAGGTAGAAGGAATGCTGGAGCCTGCAGCTGGCACCACTTCAGCAGCAGCACTGACACCTCTGTGGCGTCTTTCATTCCAGGAGCTGATTAGATCTTACCCCTCCAGTGAGGCAGTGAGCATCTGACACCATGTTATACTTGAGTAATTGGGAGAGAATAAATAGTCTGTTGTCCTGCAGGCGGGCAGCAGGAGCTCTGGAAGTTGGCCCCAGCCAGCAGTAAGCCCTGTCCCTCAGCTGAAGCAGGGAACGTGTGTGCTGCCTTTCACTGAGGTTGGACATGTTCACCACCATAGGCACATTCTCATCTGGAAGGCCAAAGTCATGGTTTAGCTTGCTTGTTTCTCAGTGTCAGAGGCACTTGTCATGTGGAATTTTAGCCAAAATTCCTGCAGTGCTGAGAGTCGGGGGGCTGTGTTGAGTGTTCCAGCAGTCAGGATATAGAGCTGCAGTTCCTGGGTTTGCTTTCTACTTGTCAGTGATGCAGTTGTCTTTGGTGCCTTGACTCTTCCAGGGTACCACTAACCTCAGGCTGGGATCTCAAGGGTGTTTTTCAGTGTTGGTGCCAGTGAAGCTGTTCCTGTGCCAGGTTACTCATTCCTACACCTGGGCTGAGCCATTCTTTTGTCAGCTCAGCTCTTTGGCCCTATCATGAGCCAGGTCTGGGAGCTGAATGAACTGTAGGAGCTTTTTCTTTTAACACTTAGGTTGGTGGGTTCGCTTCATGTGGGTGGGCAGTGTCATGGCAGTGACAAGCAGTGGGGATGTGGGGACAGAGGGTGCTGCAGAAGCTGGTGTAAGCAGAGTCTCTGCCTTCTATGGAACAAAATCCCAAATACACCTTTGATAGATGTTTTCACAGGTGCCATTATAATGCTGGAGCTCTTGCAGAGCAAGATATGAATTATCCTTTAAATTACTGGGTTTGGTTTTTTATTCTGCAGGATCATTTCATCACCCCTTCTGTCTTTGGAGAAATTATTTACAATAACTTCCTGTTCGACATCCCGAAGATCTTGGATCTCTGTGTGCTTTTTGGGAAGGGAAATGGTGTCCTGCTCCAGAAGATGATCGGTTAGTTAAAGCCAAGGAACAACATGTTGCATTTTGGCATTCTGCTTACTTGTAGGGTGGCAAGTAGGGGTTTATGCCAGCGTAACTGCTCTGGAAAGGAATTGTTCAGTGGCAACTAGAATCTGTAATTTCTGCATCAGATTACTTTAGTTGTGACCTTCATTGATGTCATTGAAAGCGCTGTGTCCTGCTGCTCAACTGCCCTGAGCTGGGCTGAGGCCATGAGGGCTCTGTAAAATCCTCACAGGGATGGGAAGGGGGAAACAACTCAACGAGTGAGCAGGGAGGGAGGAGGCTCTGACGATGGGCACAGTCTGGCATGAGTGTTCACAGAGTTGGGAGCCATGGGGAATGTGCAACGTGAGGTAATCCCTGGTCTGTGAAGCAGGAGATCTTGGAAGTCTCAGTGCAGGCCTTGATTTGTGGAGTACCTTCAAACCACAGAGCCCTCAGAGCATTGCTCAAGCTGTGCTTATCACTAGATTTCCCTGATTCTGTACAGCCACTCTGGCCAGCTCATATGAAGTAACAACTCAGCCTTATGCTCTGTATCATGAGCGTGGGGCACATTGGTTTAGCTGCTGCACTTACCCCGTGCTCCCTTCACAAGGGAACCACTTGTGATCTTTAACGTCCACCTGAGCAGATGGAAGAGAACCTGACTATGGATGAAGTGAGCTCTTCTACCTGAATTCTAACCCACATTGTCTGCCATTCATGCAGTGAAACTTTGTTCTTCCTTTAGTAGCTATTTTTGTCTCATTTCCACATTGACTAACATGAGCTCATGTGATGTAGCCAAATTGCCAGAAAAGCTTAGATAAACCTTTGTGATTTTTAACCCCTTTATCCTCTTTCAGTAACTTCCACTCTGAATTCACCTGCCAAGCCTCAGAGGTGGCCAAGAGGCATGACAGGATAGGTATTTCCCTTTCAGAGGTGAAGCTTGGATTATCTGGCTCTTAAAATAGTCCAAAGAAGACCCAAATGTGTGAAACCTCATTTGAATTCTGCATATGCTCTGCATATACTCAGCACAGTAACGCTGCATGGAGGTGACCGGTGATTTGCTCACCTGATTATGTTGTGACAGTAATAGCACAGCAGTTCTGGTGTGTAATTCAGAACTTGATCAACTTCAGGTTCTTGTTGGGGTATAAATTGTTCTGAAACCTGTCTCGTAACTCTCACCCATGCTCTGCCCTTGCATAAGGACATTAGCTCTGTTAATTTTCGTGGTCTGAACAGTAACTCACAGGAAAACAGGCAGCCTCTGGGCTTACTTGCTGAGGATTTATGCTGTGCCGTTAATCAGTGGAGTATTTTGTAGAGATAATGAAGCCCTAGTAATACAACAACAGGTATTGCTAAAGCCTCATTACCCTGAAGAAATATTCTGCAGAACACTTCCCAGTGCATGCTGAGCTCTTCTCAGTAATTGAAAGTCAACTCCAGTTGCCAAATACAGGAAGCAGGAATGTTCAGGGGTGGTATTTGTGGTGTTCATTGATCCAGCTTTTGGAGAAATCATCTTGCAGCTCCTTTGCTCTGCTCTGATGAGCATATCCTTGTTAACCAGTCCTGCCGCTGCACTAGTGAGTTGACAGCAGCCCTATCAGTCAGACTGAGCAGGAGTGGAGGAAGGAGCCTTGCCTGGGTCCTAGATGGGTATTAGCTGGATTGGGAGTGGGGGTATCAGTACAGTATATCTGGGGTATCAGTACAGTACTGTACTGGGCTATCACCAGTACATCTGCTGATGCACATTTGCTCGTTGCCATGAATGTTTGAACTAATGGGAAACGGTCTCTTTTCTCCCATTTCTCTTCGCAGGAAATATATTCACCCAACAACCAAGTTACTTCAGTGACCTAGACGAAACTCTGCCCACTGTCCTCCAGGTACTGCTCTGCTGCTCAGCCCAGAGCTGGGCTTTCCTCTGGGAGTGTGGCACGGCTTAGAGGGTGCAATGGAGCAAACGTGGTCATAGGCAGGCAGAATGCATTTGCTAGTGCTTACTTTCTCAAGTTGATGCTAATGTGCCTCAGGCAGGTTTGGAACCTTCATCTAAAACTGTTTCTTGATGATGATTTCCTTTGGCCTTCCTTCAGCTGCTGCTGTCTCTGCAGGTAATCTGAAGGAATGTTCATTAGGCAGCTCAAAAAGTATTCCTTGTATCCTCCACCCACCCCAAGTGGGGGAAGCACTGAAACTTAAACCAGCAAAATAGAGACCATAGATATGTCTACTTGACATAGTGGAATGGGTTAGTATTAGCACTGCAGCTGCTCAGGAGTAAATGGAATTCTCTTGGAAGGGATGCATTGCTGCCATACAAAAGCTGTTTTGTACCTCTCCATGTCTAAGCTTTCATTTTTATGAGCAGCTTTTATATTCCCCAGACTCAGCAAGTGGGATTCATATTTAACCTGAGGGGGAAATCAAGGCACTTTGACATCTTTATAGCCTGAAAATGTCATATTTATGTACTCAAAATAAACAAACCCAAGATACCATTTACCCCAAGACACCAATAATGTCACTTCTTGAAAGCCCACATCCTTTTTTCCCAAGTGCTAAGAAACTGTTAGAGGTAAATCCCAGAGGTGATACCTTGTTTGAAAAATATCCTAGGATGCAAGACCAGACCTTCAAATGCATCAGTGGGAGGGCAGGAGAGACTCCAGGAGATTTCTGTGATGTACCATATTGGAGCAGTTTCTCTGCAGAGCACTGGTTTCTTGGCTCTGTGTGGTGGTGACCACTGCAGGGCCGTGCCTGTGCATCTCAAGTGTGTGGATGTAACAGCTAGAGATCACTGATCCAGAAAACTACTGATGTGCTTACACTGTCACTGAAAGGGGTTGATACCTGTGCAGGTTCAGGAGCTTACATGCCCTCTAGAATAGCAATGAGCACCTTCAGCTGCCCATTCATATGCCTCAGGGAGGAGAGCTGCCAAATCTCTCAAGGTACAGGTGTAGAGAGTTGCTTTTAATTTGGTCCTACCCCACAGGATGTTGGCAGTCCAGGACCTAATTCTGTCAGCTTCTCCCAGACTCTTTGGTTGTAAACAAGAGCCACAAACTCTGTCCTGCCAACCTGCTCACAGGAAGGCTGTGGGACTAGCTTGCAAGCAGGAGCTCATATGGTGTTAACTTCACAGTTGTCCCACTGCAAATAGGGATTCTGGGTGGCTTCCCAGTGTTGTTGCTGCCTGTTTTTTCTCACCCAGCTAAGATCTGGCTTAGAATCATAGAATAGTTTGGGTTGGGCAGGAAATTAAGACCATCCAGTTCCAACCCCCCTGCCATGGGCAGGGACACCTCACACTAAACCAGGGCACCCAAGGCTCTGTCCAGCCTGGCCTTGAACACTGCCAGGGATGGAGCATTCATAGCTTCCCTGGGCAACCCATTCCAGTGCCTCACCACCCTAACAGGAAAGAATTTATTTCTTATATCCAATCTAAACTTCCCCTGTTTCAGTTTTAACCTGTTACCCCTTGTCCTACCACTACAGTCCCTAATGAAGAGTTCCTCCCCAGCATCCTTATAGGCCCCCTTCAGATACTGGAAGGCTGCTATGGAGTCAGATTAGCTGCAGTCCCTGTCTTGACATCACAGCCATATGCAGCTGCACTTAGCTACTTGCAAGCTGCATGGAGTCTCAGAAGTGCAGCGTGGCCCTTCCTGCTGTAGCCTGTGAGAGTCTGTTGCAACTTCTGCCTTACACAGCTCCATGTTGAATGGAAACAGTCCCAGCTTGCACACATGATCATAGCAGTGATTGTTAACAAGGTAAAGCATCTCCTGCTGCTTTCCCTGCCTGTTTTAACGCTGCTCCCTTCTCTTGATGTAGGTGTTCAACAATATTTTGCAGCAGTGTGGTTTGCAGTGTGAAGGAGCCTCTGCTGAGCCCCAGAAATTGGAAGAAAAAGTAAATGTGACTCCAGGAAACATGCCTCTCCAGGTAGAACTGCTGCTTCTTGCCCTTTGCTGTTTGCTGCCCTGCAGACTGAGCAGTCTGGGGAGCACTATGACCACAGAGGGTCATTCTGTTCCCAGACACGGGTGGCTCATGCAGCACATGGTTCCCTGTCATTAGTTCACTGTTTGTCATATGACTTGATGATAAAAGTCTTTCCACCCTGAGCTGGTTGCTTTCTTCTTGTGCTTTTCAACCATGTCCCTTGTATCGTGGGCTCTTTCTAAACCTGCCATCTCTTTCCCTTAACCAGCTTGTAGGTAACTTAACTTACTGGTAGCTGAGAGAAGGCTCCACCAGAGCCCTGGCAGTGGTCAGAGTTGGTTTGGCTGTAATTCAGAAATGTTTGTTTAACAAAAGTACTTTAGTTCATTAAATAGGGGGGGTTTAGTGCTGGGTGCTGCACAAAGACAGGCCCCATGTCAGTGAGCATGCTCTGCGAAATCTTACACAGCTTGTGTGTGGGAGTTGTTGCAGCTACCCTGGAAATGCATCTTGCACTGAAATGGACCACTGAAATCATCCCTTTAATTCCTGTGTTACTGCTATGCAGTGCTTCCAGCTAGATGGGGAGCAATACTCTATGTGGAGGAGGATACATGGAGGCCAGAGCCACTGCCCAAAACAGGATATATTGAGGGTTCATGTAATTTCACAGTGCCTTGAATGTGAGCGAGCTGTGGGGATTGCATCATAAATCGTTAAAGGACAGAAGTTCTAGCATGGACATTGTCTCTGCCTCTAGACCCATTAATGTGTCATGTGTTTATAATTCATAGCAGACTCTTTGTGCAGTCAGAAGCAAGGCTTGGTCTGAACGCGGTGTGTCCCTGGTGGTTGTGTTGTGTTCCTGGGAAAACTTGCCTGGCTCTTCTCTCAGTAATTGCTCTTTCACTCTCAGGAGCTGAAGGACATTGTGCTGTACTTATGCGACACCTGCACGACGCTCTGGGCGTTCCTTGATATCTTCCCATTGGCCTGCCAGACCTTCCAGAAACATGAGTTTTGTTACAGGTACATCTTGGCCCGCAGACAGAGCTGGGCTTGGTGAAGTAAAAGTACTGAATATTCTGTTGTGTCCTCGCCCAGTCCCTTTACCACTGACACTGCCATTTAATCATAAGTCACCCTGGTTTGTGTTGAGGGGACCTTAAAGCTCCTCCAGCTCCAACCCCTGCCACGGGCAGGGACCCCTTCCACTGGAGCAGCTTGCTCCAAGCCCCTGTGTCCAACCTGGCCTTGAACACTGCCAGGGATGGGGCAGCCACAGCTTCTCTGGGCACCCTGTGCCAGTGCCTCAGCACCCTCACAGGGAAGAGCTTCTGCCTAAGAGCTCAGCTCAGCCTCCCCTCTGGCAGGTTAAAGCCATTCCCCTTGGCCTGTCCCTGCAGGCCCTTGGCAAAAGCATATTTGCTCCTGTTTCAGGGCACAAATAACAAAATGGTGTAATGCCAGTGAGTGCTAATGAAATGAGCAGTTTGACTTGTCTTTTAGCAAATGGCTTCTGAAGCCTCAGGTGACAGTTACTGTTTTGTTGCCCCTTCCTACAGATTAGCTTCGTTTTATGAACTGACAGTGAGGTTCACACTGACAGGAATACAGAGTGATAAATAATGATTACAGGGACGTCTGGAGCTTCTCTATCTGTGCACCTTCCTCATTATCCTTGAGTGATCCTAGAGCTAGGCAACCATGATGGCTTTAAAACCTACTAAACGGTACTTGGTGGGGTGGAGAGGGCAAGGAGAAAAGAGTTGTAGATAAAAAGGGCTTCCTGCTGTAGGGCCTGAAGCAAGGGAAGTGGAAAGTATTTCAGAGTGATAGTCCATCGAGGTCTGAAAAGAAATGCTTTTATTTGATGCTCTGCATGAGGTTTATGCTAGAGAATATTACTGAGGTTTGGCAGAAGCTGAGTGCCTGGGAGAGAATGACAGCTGGGTTGGCAGCTAATTCCCAGCCCAGCTCTGGATCACAGTGCAGATGAGTCAGGATGGTCTCGATGACCAAACAGCAGAGTGTGTCCCCACAGAGGCTGCAAGTCCTTGAGTGGCACTTACCCAGCTTGCTCCAGTTGTTTAATCCCCCAGACCATCTTGTAGAGTCTTGCCTTTGGTTAGGAGCCACTGTGAAGTGTTAATTTATTGTCCTTATTTCCCAGTTTTGTTTGCTTGGGAACAAGCACATGTTTGTATTTTGCTTTTGTTTCCAATTGTGTTGCAGGCCTCTGAGGCAGCACAGCTGCTGGTGGTTTATGGACCATAGGTTGAGTAATGCTGCTCTGGGGGGTGTGGGTGCCTGTCCTCCTTGGGTGTTGTGGTCCAGTTGGTTATTGAAGGACCAGCAGATTGATGGAGTGCTGGTGGCTGTTTGAATTGGTGAGCAGCACAGCTTCCACGCTTGGTTACTCACAGGAGGAAAGCCTTTTGCTTTCAATCCTACTGCTGATGTTAGTAGATGTGCTAAAATATTCTTGATCTCTGTGCAGTAGGACAACAGCAACATTCTCATTACTTCTCAATATGGACTAATGTCTGGGGCTCTGGAGCGTGGAAAGGGAAACTGATCTATGTGTCATCCTCCTGGAACCTCTCTGTGGCTGAATCCATCTGCTGGCACTTGCTCATTTCTCTCCCTGACTAAAAGTATCAATGAGAGCTTCTGCTACATTTGCCTCAAGGATACTCATTTAGCATGTTTGGTTCTTAATAGGAGACACAGACATAATGTTCCTAATGGAGCCTCAGCCCATCAGTTCAGCGTGGCTCTCCTGCACAGTGCTGCAAATTGTGATTTGTAACAGCCAGCTACTGAGGGAGCAGCACTGGCTGTTAGTCTGCATCTCTTGGGGCTCTGTCCCTAAAGGAAGGAGTCTGTGTGAGCTGCCTGGCATGGAAAATGTGAAACTGGACCAAGCTATCTTTCTTTGTTTCCTCCCTGTGGCATCCTATTGCAACATGCTGTTAGGCTTTCTGCATATTGAATACCTTCACCTAAGTGCCCACCTAGAGCAGAGCTGAATAGGAAGACCAGTAAGAGCTTATTGGAAATCATACCCAGTTTTGTATCTGGTTTTAGCGTAGAGCAAGATGGGGCCATGAGGATATTGGAAGGGAAGGGTGTGCTTCAGGATGGGCTAAACCTATCAGCTCCCTGCAGATCTGTGTTTGGGGTGTTTCTCAGTTGGGCAGGTTGTTCTTCTCTTCAGTAGTGTGGTGATGTTCAAATGCAGTTCTGTGCCTGCATCTTCAAAGATACCTCGATGACCTCCGGGTGCTGCTCTGTCTAGTGCATAGAATCCCAGCCTGGTTTGGGTTGGAAGGGACCTTAAAGCTCCTCCAGCTCCAACTCCAACCCCTTCCACTAGAGCAGCTTGCTCGAAGCCCCTGTGCCCAACCTGGCCTTGAACACTGCCAGGGATGGGGCAGCCACAGCTTCTCTGGGCACCCTGTGACAGCACCTCAGCACCCTCACAGGGAAGAGCTTCTGCCTAAGAGCTCAGCTCAGTCTCCCCTGTGGCAGGTTAAAGCCATTCCCCTTGGCCTGTCCCTGCAGGCCCTTGGCAAAAGCATATTTGCTCCTGTTTCAGGGTACAAATAACAAAATGGTGTAATGCCAGTGAGTGCTAATGAAATGAGCAGTTTGACTTGTCTTTTAGCAAATGACTTCTGAAGCCTCAGGTGACAGTTACTGTTTTGTTGCCCCTTCCTACAGATTAGCTTCGTTTTATGAACTGGCAGTTCCTGAGCTGGAAGCTGCAATCAAGAAGAGGCACTATGAGGACAACAGGTGAAAGTGGGTGCAGGGGCTTTGCCTCTTCTGTTCAACAGGACTCTCCAAGGGCTTAGTTAAGAATTCACTTCATGCTGCTTTACTCACCTCCACGGAGTCTTTCTGTCTTTTTTATGCTGCTTCAAAGAACTCCAGGGAGATGACTTTTCTAATTCCAACTTTCCCTGGGCAGTGGGGTGACTAATGAGTTCTTGCACTGCTGTCTGAGAAGAATTTGATGGGAGATGCATTCCAGTTATAAAAAAGCATGAAAACGGGAATGATATCTCTATGTGTAGATTGGTCTCATTTTAAGGCACAGGCTGCGCTGGTGCAGTTGAGATGTCTCTGTCTAGCTGGTGATTGAGACCAGCTTTTAGTGTATGGATTTTCATTCATAACTAGGAAATGGCTCTGATATGTGGTCCTTGCAGCAAATAAAGGAGCAAAGGTGTGTTAAAGATTCACATTTCTTGTGCTGATGCTAATAGTGTCTTTTTACTCTCCCTGAAGTGTCTTTGCTGATTTGTGGAGGAGAATTTCACATTCCAGAAAGAAGATGATAGAAGCTTTTCATATCCTAATAAACCAAGCCTGTCTGCAGCCCATCTTAGAAAGCAGGTATTGGCACTGGGACCTGTGGTACCAGCCAGTTATTTGATTGCCATTGAGGGGAGATTTGCTGGAGAAAATGAATGGATGTTGCTATTTTTATTGGGGTTGTAGCCATATACTTTGGCTAAGATCAGAAGTCTGTCGTCCTGCACAGCAGGAATGTTCCAGAGGAAGCTGTATGATCCAGAACTGGTGTGTGTTGACCCCACTAGAGTGGGATGATGCTGTGGTCCAACAAGCTTTCTAACCTCAGCTTGTGGCTAAATTGCAAATTCTAAGGGTGTGTGTGTAGGCACCTTGACTGAGACACCACATTAAAAGTGATGCAGTGTTGCAGATGACTGAAAACACTCAAATCTAGATACTGGTGCCTTTACCTGGTTCTTCCCCCCTCCTCTTGTGAAAGTTGTTAGCTGATAACTCTGTGAGTAATCTCAAAATGAAGGCAAGTGTAACTGTCTCTGTGTTATAGTAGAGAAGTGAAATAGCCCAAAATCATGCTGCATATTGGGGATGGAGCCAAGAGCCTGGATCTGGATTGCAAGGCCAGTGCTCCCCTGGGCTGCTCTCTTTGCCTCTACGTGTTACAGGGTTTGAAGGTTGCTGCAGCTCATGTTCTGCTTGAATATTTGCCCTCATTTGGTATGGGTAGAGTTGTCCAAGAAGATGAGGAGGGTCTGTTGGTGGAATTCCTTATGGGAGACCTGGATTTGTTTCCTTCACTTTCTAAAGAACTGCTTTTTTCCCAGTGCTGATGTACTGCAGAGAGTGTTCAGTTTGGCTGTGGGCTTGCTGCAGCAGCAGCAGCAGTAGGAGGTTTGGGTGTTATAACACACAGGCTGCAGTAGGAATTGGCTTGGCCTGTGTTCTTACCCAGGTGAGCACATACTTTCTGGGAGGTTCACTGCTATAATCCCAAGACATATAATAAGAGCACAATTACAAAAGCACTACACACCCTGTTGTGCTTGATGCAAGTCTGGGGCATCAAAGCATGACTTGTAAAGTCTGTCTGAAGTCTTGTATTTCTAACTGTGATACAGCTGTGGACACAGCTGGCTGAAGTGTCTGCTGAAGCCAAAGAATAGTCATAGAACAGTTTGGGTTGGAAGGGACCTTCAAAGCTCATCTGGTTCCCACCCCCTGCAATGAGCAGGGACATCTTCAACTAGATCAGGCTACTCAGAACCACATCCAGCCTGGCCTTGAATGTCTTCCAGGGATGAAACTTGTTTCCATTTGACCCTTTGCTCCTCTGAAAGCCCCAAAGTGGTCTGAAATTTATTTTCAGCTGGGATTTTCCCCTGATGTATGAGCGTGACTGAGGGGGAATGTGGAGGTTGTGCAATGCTTACCACCAGTTGTTCACTCTGTGCCATTGTTTTCTGCAGCTGTGAGAACATTCAGCCTTTTATTGAGGAATTCCTCCAGATCTTCACTTCAGTGCTTCAGGAAAGGAGGTGAGTCTGGCTGCAGAGAGACCCAAAGGGAGGGTCAGCTTGCCTTCCTCTTCCATTCTTTACAGTAGAATTGCCCGAGACATTATTATGAGGTATTATGATACATTTGGGAGTTAGAAATCATTGTGACTAGTTGGGAGAGCTGCTGTGAGAGGATTTCACACTGCAGTGCAGCCTTTACTGTAAGGTGAGGAGGGTGTTGCGTGACGCTGGAGAATGTTATTCTTTGCTCTCTTTAATCCAGGCTTTCAAAGGGGAGAATAGCAATTTAGCCATTAGCTACCTGGACAGCTTAGACTATTATTACTGATCTCTGCTTTTCAGCTGAGGTGACCAGAACAGAAAAGTGTTTAGTGCTGATGCTGCAGGTGCAAAGTGAGTAAGTGGCAGAACTGGGAATTCGATCTTGGCCTCCCAACAGTGCTGTTCTGATCATGTTCAAATGTAAACTCTCTTTTCTCTGTAATGTGGCACTGGGTCTTAGCATCCTGAGGAGTGTTGCAGGGGTCTGATGGCTGGGATGGGGTTGGTGAAGTCCTGCTGCAGAGTAATGGGAGCATAATGAGACCTGGCAGTGGATGCTGGAATCCAGTACTGGGTGAGGGGTTAGAAGTGTTCCTGCCTGAGCAGTGAGGAGGCCGAAGCAGCATGGCAGGACCAGCAGTGTGTGACAGGTCTGCTGGTGGCTGACTGTGATTGATTAAGCTTGCTTCTGGGGTTTCAGATTTCTCCGTGATTATGATAAGCTGTTTCCTGTTGAGGATGATGTCAGCCTGCTTCAGCAAGCATCCTCCACGCTGTATCCTTCACCATCACCTTGGGGCTTTGCAGACCTGGCTGCTCTTGGATTCCTTCGTGCCTGTGGCATTTCCAATATTGCTGCCTCTGGTTAAGCTGCAGGACTGGAAGTGGGTGATAGAAAGTTTTCCCCTAAAAAAGAAAGGGGAGAGTCATGTGTCTATGGAGCCAGGCTGAGAGAGCTGGGCTGGGTCAGCCTGGAGAAGAGAAGGCTCCTGAAGGGGAGACCTGAGAGCAGCTCCAGTGCCTAAAGGGGCTGCAGGAAAGCTGGAGAGGGGCTTGGGACAAGGGCCTGTAGGGACAGGCCAAGGGGAATGGCTTTAACCTGCCAGAGGGGAGACTGAGCTGAGCTCTGAGGCAGAAGCTCTTCCCTGTGAGGGTGCTGAGGCACTGGCCCAGGGTGCCCAGAGAAGCTGTGGCTGCCCCATCCCTGGCAGTGCTCAAAGCCAGGTTGGACACAGGGGCTTGGAGCAAGCTGCTCTAGTGGAAGGGGTCCCTGCCTGTGGCAGGGGTTGGAGCTGGAGGAGCTTTAAGGTCCCTTCCAACCCAAATCAGGCTGGGATTCCATGAAGGTTGATTGAGGCACAGGTTTGGGGTTGCTGAAAATCTCATTGTTTCTTCAGGGTGAGGTCTGAATATGCACATCTAGAAATGTCCTTAATGGTGTCCTCTTAGAGATGAGACCAGGACAGCCTATATCCTCCAAGCAGTGGAAAGTGCATGGGAAGGGGTAGACAGGAAAAAAGAAGTCATTAAAGATTCAACACCAGCAGCAGCATCTAATGGAGCATCAGCAATACTGGATAGAACTGTTGAAGACATGGAAGGTCTCAGGGCTGGATATGTGTCAGAGGATGAGGTGAGTAGACCAGTGTGGACTGGGTCCTGTTCTTTCTGTCCTTGCCTCATTCATCTGTGAAGAGAGGATTGGTTTGCTCAGGTTTGGGGGTTACGGGAGATTGTCTCATTTCTTACCTTTGCTAGATTTCAGTGCAGCCCCATGTGCCTTGTGAAATGAGAAGCCATAAAGCCACACCTTGAGCCTGACTTTATCTTGGAGCACATTGCCTCTAACTTCTGTTGGCTTGGGCTTCCTGTTGCTGTGGTGTATTCAAATACTGTGCCTCATCACTGTAGTTCATGTGTGTATTCATTAATGCACAGTTCATAGGTTATTTGAGGAAGGGATTCCCCAGAGTGTCTTCGCTGACCTGGGGACAGGCAAAACCAGTTGGGTGCTCAAGGCTATGTCGTAGACCTTGTGCAGTATAAGCAGCTTTTGATGATTTCTCTTCTTTTGAATTCTTTGTGATTAAATTCAGATAACCCAGGCTGCTGCTTTCCCTTTTCATAACATGCCTTCCTGCCTCCCCTCAGCTGCTGGCTGTCCCCAGTAATGCCCCCACTTCTGTTTGGTATCTGCAGTGTGCCGGTGCAGCGGCTGCGCCCATCGCCAGGGTCTCAGGAGTGGAGCTGGACTCACTGATCTCTCAAGTGAAAGACTTGCTGCCAGACCTTGGTGAGGGCTTCATCCTGGCCTGCCTGGAAGAGTACAGTTACAATGCAGAGCAAGTCATCAACAACATCCTAGAAGAGAAGCTGGAGCCATACTTGGATAAGCTGGACCGAACAATGCAAAGGCAAGGGACAGCTTCTGGCATGGGTTTGATGTCATTTGGGGTTTTTTGTTTGTGGGTTATCATTTAACAGAGGGCTGGAGCAGCTCTGCTCTGGAGCCAGGCTGAGAGAGCTGGGCTGGGTCAGCCTGGAGAAGAGAAGGCTCCTGAAGGGGAGACCTGAGAGCATCTCCAGTGCCTAAAGGGGCTGCAGGAAAGCTGGAGAGAGGCTTTGGACAAGGGCCTGTAGGGACAGGCCAAGGGGAATGGCTTTAACCTGCCAGAGGGGAGACTGAGATGAGCTCTTAGGCAGAAGCTCTTCCCTGTGAGGGTGCTGAGGCGCTGGCCCAGGGTGCCCAGAGAAGCTGTGGCTGCCCCATCCCTGGCAGTGCTGAAAGCCAGGTTGGACACAGGGGCTTGGAGCAAGCTGCTCTAGTGGAAGGTGTCCCTGCCCATGGCAGGGGTTGGAGCTGGAGGAGCTTTAAGGCCCCTTCCAACCCAAACCAGGCTGGGATTCTGTGATTCTATGAACATCATGCTTACGGAGGGTTAGACACTTGTAGAGCTCTAAGAAATTGAATGTGCATTTTGGGGGGATAGGTAGCTGCAGTGAGAGCTTCTCACTGCTATAGCTTTCTGCCCTCATTTGTGTCCCTGCTCAGCATTTCAACAGAGCAGATCTGGGTTGTGTTTTGTGATGGGGGATAAAAACACTCGTACATTAAATGGTCACTTCAGAACCATTAAAATTGCATCATGGGGACACTGGTTTGGGCTGGGCAATAGAATGTGTTGTCTTCAAAAGCTATTAAAGTTATTTTGCTGCAGAGGCCAGGGTCATAGTCGTTAACTCCCAGAGGTCCTGCAGGAAAGGGCATCTTCAGAGGAACTGATTAATCCCAAATTCAACCTGCAGGATTGAATATGGTATTTGACAGGCTCCTGTTTTGGGGGGGAATTTAAAGCAGGGAGAGACTGGAGGTGCAGTTCAGATCCATTTTCATCCACCTTCTGACAAGCTTTCCCTGGCTTGTACCTGGGACGCAGGACTCATAGCTGGCAGTGGGATTGAGCTGTTGGAGTTTGCGTGCAGCTGCCAGCACGTGTTTGTGCTGCACCAGCAGTTTCTGCCTGAGCCTCAGGATGTGAATGTGCTGTTTGTTCACATTTCGTGGGGGAATGGGCAGACTGTCTCATTGTGCCATTCAAAAGGAAAGCATCTCTATCAGGAAAACCATATAAAATATCTTAGTCTTGCAACAATCTTGGTGCTCTCACAGTCACATCTGCTGACTTGGGCGCAAATGGTGGCTGGCTTTTTGGAAGGGTTGGGGTTTTTCTGCCAAGCCAGCAGTTACAGAAGATAGGGCTGGATTTAGTTTTTCTTTCCTGCCTTTTGCATCTTGAAACAAAGCTGTCAGTTCAATAGCAAATGTGGAACTGGGATCAGGGCTGGGTTTAGGAGTGAGCAGAGCAGCGTCTGCAGCCAACAGCTGAGCTCACAGCCCCAACACAATGAATGTAAAAATAATGCTCCTTTGACTTACAAGTTGAACAAATGTAAGCCTGGAACGCTGAGAGAACGGTAGGAAGATAAATATCCTGAAATCAGCAGCAGCAAATTACTGGAATCTTTTCCAGTGTGTAATTCATCATACTTAGTGCCTGGCTTTGCTGAGTCGCTGTTCTGAGATCAGGCAGCCTGCTGACATTCTGTGCTACTCATGGTTTTATTCATTCTTAAATGAACAAAAGAGTTTTCCTGTTGCTTTCTGTAAGTTGCTTTATTTTGCCCCAAAAGATAAGCTTTGGAAATGGTGCCTTTTATCTCACACCAATGCCCCATAGTGGTTGCACATGTACTACAGCGTGGCTGTGAAAGGAAGGAGTTGTAACCTGTGACCTAGCACCACATAGTGGACCTTGGCATGTAGTGGGTGACTTGGAGGCTGACAAAGATAACCCAAGGCCTCGGGAAGGAGAGGACTTGGTCTTCCCCAGCTCACCTTTGGTTTTATTCTCTCTTGCTCTTTTCTCTTCTACCAGGCAGCTGAAGCCAGACCCGACTCCTCTGGTCACTTCTCGCTATAATGTTTTCCAGAATGATGAGTTTGATGTTTTCAGTAGGGATTCAGTGGATGTTTCTCGGATCCAGAAGGGCAAGAGGTGAGTATCGTGCACCCTTTATTAAGCCTGTCTGTTGGGAGGGATGGTACCTGCAACCTTGCAATTCTATTTCTCATACAAACCTCCTGCAGGTGTGTGTGGTGGGGGCAAGGCTGAGCAAAAAGATTTCCCACCTCTTTCTTTGGGCAAGTGAACTGAATTGTTATTAGCGGGTTGGTTTCAGTTAGTGGGTTTCCTAATGGGCTTTCCTCTGTGTGCTGCTAGAGAGGGCTCTGCCAAGCTCCTTTGTAATGTTGGGCTCTTGCTTCTTGGTCTGAAAGTTAAACCTGCACTGAAGAGCAAACCTTGCAGAGCAGCCACCTCTGCGAGCCAGGGGGGACTCGGAACTGAGAGTGAAGAGTGATCTGATTTCAATACCCATCTCCTTCACAGTCTGACCGTGCTCAGGGGTGCAAACTACTCTTGTTCCGCTGCTGTAAGCTTCCTGCAGCAGGGCATTTTTTTTGCTTTCTGCCCAGTTTGGCACATTGTGCTGTGCCATACTCTGTTCAGATTTAGGTTAGAACATTGCCCTGCTGGCTCCCGTTGATGTCACCTCTAGAATATCCCTGACTTGTTTCAGGTTCTTCTGGAACACTTCAACTTGCCGAGCGTGATCGTTACTTTGGTGTGGATTTATACAGAATGTAAATAGAAGTCTGTACATTGAGCCCTGTGATCCTGGGAGCTCCCACTTAAGGTTTTGTTTGCAAAGCTGCCCCAGACTCTCAGGAGAAAACTGCTTCTGCCCCCAGGTCCAGTCCAGCAGCCTCTCAGCAGCAGTGCTGTAGTGTTTCTACTTGATTTCTCTCTGGCCAAGGCAATGACTTTGGAGGTGCCCAATAGCTAAGTACTCACATGCACAACCTTTCTCCTCATGGTGTTGCCTTGCTCAGAGTGCAGGCAGTGACTGTCAGCAGGAGGCTTGTGTGTTTCGTTACCTCCCATCTCCCCAGAGTCTTGCACATGTGGGTAGTGCTGCAGCAGCTGGACAAGGCCAGAGGGCACTGTCCCAGGTTCAGCCAGTGTATGGGATAACCCTGCTGGGAGCTCCCTCTGCAGATCGCTTGAAGAACTTGGAAAGTCGCAAGGTCAGCTCTGGGGCCACAGCACAAGAGGGACGTGGAGCTGTTGGAGTGAGTGCAGAGGAGGCCATGGGGATGCTGCGAGGGCTGGAGCAGCTCTGCTCTGGAGCCAGGCTGAGAGAGCTGGGCTGGGTCAGCCTGGACAAGAGAAGGCTCCTGAAGGGGAGACCTGAGAGCAGCTCCAGTGCCTGAAGAGGCTGCAGGAAACCTGGAGAGGGGCTTGGGACAAGGGATGTAGGGACAGGCCAAGGGGAATGGCTTTAACCTGCCAGAGGGGAGACTGAGATGAGCTCTGAGGCAGAAGCTCTTCCCTGTGAGGGTGCTGAGGCACTGGCACAGGGTGCCCAGAGAAGCTGTGGCTGCCCCATCCCTGGCAGTGTTCAAGGCCAGGTTGGACACAGGGGCTTGGAGCAAGCTGCTCTAGTGGAAGGTGTCCCTGCCTGTGGCAGGGGTTGGAACTGGAGGAGCTTTAAGGTCCATCCCAGACCAGGCTGGGATTCCATGATCCCTGATCTGGGTGGTGGCACCCTGCTCCTGTGGCATTGCTGTCTGGCTGCTGCCAGGGAGGCTGTATCTTCTCTCAAGCAGTGACATCACTCCTTGGGAAGTTGTCACCTCTTTGCTGTGCTGTTCCATGAGTGCTCAGCATTATCCTCTGACTGCCGATATTCCTGGTGTCTCTTGGCCTCCCTCAGGCTACGTCTTCCTGATGAAACAGTTGTTCTTAGGCAGCTTGTGCTTATGTGTAGAGTGGTGTTGCTGCCTAAGCATGATATCTCCAGAGCCTGTGTGGATAAGCATAAGCAGTTTTGGGCAGGGAGTGTTAATGTGAAAGCGAGAGCCACGCCAGGATGAAGAGAGAAACAAGCACGAGGAAGCGAACATACGAGCATACATGTCATTCTTTGCTGATCCTGAAAAGTGATCCCACTTGTCTGTGCCTGTCCAGCCATAATTGCTAGCTGAATCTGTCACCTGAAGTCCTGCACACCATGGGACTAGAGGAGTTATCCCACTGCTTTTCCTGGAACTGGTGCCTGAAACATTTCCTTGCAGCTCTTCTGCAGTCATCAGACCAGCTCAGCAGGAGACAATTACCAAACACTTAGTTCAGGCTCATGTTGAATACCAACGGAAGATGTTATCCCAGCTGGGTATGTGTGAACTAACCACATGCTTTGTAGGGCATTTTTGCAGCTAAATGCAGGCAGGTACCAGAGTGAGTCATGGAAGAGAGGGAACCACATCTATCCGTAAGGTTACTGCTTGATGTTCTTAATGAAGATCAGCCTGCTTAGATGACTTCCCCTGGGCTTGCTCTGTGTCACATAAGTTTGTCTGTTCTGGAGTCACTGCAGTCTGTTAGGGACAGGCTCTTTCCCTGTTAATATCCAGATGCCAAAGCACCACTGATGCGTGTTCCTCCTGGACTCTGAGGGCTGCAAGTTGTCCTGTGAATACTTGACAGTGGAATCCCTCGTTGCTTTGCTGTAAGCATGTGCTTGGCCAGCCTGAAAAATGGCACTTCAAAGGCTTTATGCTTATGCAGTGTGAGACACAGCATCTTTGTAATACCTCTATCAGAATTCTGTTTCTTGGTCCTCCCTTTAAAATGGCTATCACTGACTTGCCTCCTACATTCACAAAAAACAAGTACATGCTTTGAGACAGGTTGAATCAGTCACAAGTCTACTCTGGGTTGTTCTTTTCCAGCGTTAGTTGGCTGAGTCCTTGCTGCAGTGCTCATTTTTGGCTCTCCCCATCTATCTCCATAGTTTGCAATCTCTCTCATTTGCAAGCTGAGGTTCCTGGCTGTAGGAACTCAGGTGTCTGCAGCAGTGACTCTAACACAGGTCTCTGCTTGCAGCTGTGCTGCTGCTGCAGTGAGACGATGCTGCAGCAGGGTGTTAGAGGGCACTCTGGGCCTGGCAGAGCTGGTTTGTAGGCTGGAGCCTTCACCCCCACAGCCTCTCATTCAAGGTGCATGGGATTTCTTGTGGTGTTTGAATCTTGGCCTGAAAATTGCAGCTTGAGTATAATTGCATTTGGCCTCCCTAAAAGCTTCCTTTCAGTCTCAAATGACAGTGTTGGTGTCCGGTTCCTGTTCTTATCTGGGCAATCTTGCTGGGCTTCTGTTTAAGAATGACTTTGTTCCAAGCCAGGGGAGGCTGGTTTTAGTAACCAGACAAACAGCCCTATTGTAGATCAGAGGGGAAATAGGCTTAAGTAGCACTTACGGAGTTTGAAGTGAGACTTCTGTTCCTCCAGCTTCCACTTACTAACGCGGTGGGGGGGTGAATTAACTTCTCAGGAAGGTTTTTACACACGTTTCTGTTCCTGTGGAGTGCAGGAGGGAGAAGGACACCACCAGAAGTTTGCTGAATGACAAGCGCCTGGTTGCTGAGCAGAAGGAGCGCTACAGCCAGTACAGGCTGGTGGTGGAGGAGCTGCCTGTGCAGCAGGGAGAGGCTCAGCTCTACGGGGAGGACTACGAGGACGAGTACGACGACACTTATGATGGAAACCAAGTGGGGGCAAATGATGCTGACTCAGATGATGAGCTCATCAGTAGGAGGTAGGTGCTGTGGCTTCAGTGGATGGGAGGGTGATGGGAATGGCTACCTATGGCTCACACAAGCCTGTTCAGCACTGGCTTTCAGCTTCATTTCTCAATGAGGATGTGTATGCTTCAAGCCAGCACTTTCTCTGGTGCTGCCACTTTCTCTGTAACATGGCAGGAGGGAGATCTGGGTCTCTCCTCTCCTGTCAGTAGGAGTGTTGCTGTGGCGTGCACCCAGGATATTCTCAGGCTCCCACTTTGTGTGTCTGCAGGACACAGGCATTCCCTCAGCTAATCAACACATCTAAGAGGGGAATTCGCTGTTGTGTTGAACTTGCACTCAGCAGCATTTCTGCTCGTAGGCAACGCTCCTGCAGCGGGGGAAAGGGCTCTCTGGAATACTGAGGAGTGCAGCTGGTGGTTAGAGGAGAATTGCAGCATTTGGAAAGCTGAGCAGTGCGGGTGCTGCTCCTTCCAACCCCCTCTGACACCTCTAAGTGCTGACACCTGGAATCCAGTCCTTGCAGGACCGCACAGCACCCTGCACAAGGACGGACAGCTGTAGGGAGCAAAGGGTTACTTTGGGCTGGGGATTGGAGAATATTTGTTCTAGAAATAAGAGCCAGAGACAGAAATCCTGTGTTTCAGAAATGCTAAACCAGCTTCTAAAAGTGGCCTTTAAAATTCTGGCGTACTACGAAGATGTCTCCGTTTCTAACCTCAATCCAGAATGCATCTTTGGGCTTCCTTTGTCCCTTTCACTACAGTTTTCTCCCTCTCCTAAAGCAGGGTGAGGCTTCAGCTTAAATCCTTTAGTGGTTTGCCTGTAACAGTGTGGTACTTGAGTCTTTTCCCCCTGTTTCAGGTGCTCACTGCTCCTAGGGAAAGGCAGGAGGAACAATTAGTGGATGTTCCTGTGGAAAACTAGATCTGTAGGTTTGAAGTAACAAAGACATTTCTGGTTTTACATTTATTTCTGTGACAGTGGGATGGTGGATCTGAATTCCAATAGAATTTAAGCACATATACACATATATATATGTGTGTGTGTGTATATATATATATATATATATATATATATATATATATATGTATCAAAGAAGAGCTATAGGTATGTGGTAAATTCTGCCTCCACCCCCTCAGGCCCTTTGCTGCTCTGCATGTTCAGGGTGATTCACAAAGCTTGATGGATTTCTCCAACTATTTCTCCCTGTATAAAACTGGGGTAGGGCCCAGCCATAAAACTAGAGCTCTGTGGATGACCACTGACCAGTCCTAGAGGTTCCAGAGCACAGCATTTCCTGAGCATTAATGTTTCTGTCTGAGTTTGAGCTTGAGGTTTGAGGGTTTATCTTTGTACAACAGATGCTCCCCGACTGGTGAGCTAAAGCCTAGCAAAGTTTACTTCTGCTTAGTACTGCCCTGGGGCTGGGGCTGGATCCCCACCTCCCAGAGGAAGCACTTGTTTCCTTGGAGAAATTCCTTGTGAGGTTTCAGGTTTTTCCTGACCTGCTCCTTTGCAACCATAATGATGCTCAGTAACAACTTCATAGTGAACATTCCCAGTGAAGAACATGGATTCAGCAGTTGTCCATAGTAAAGGTGTCATTTTCTATCTGGCTCTTCAGAAAAAGCAGCAAGTCCATGGAACCTGTGGATTGTCATTTTTGGAAGCTGGGATGCAAACCCAGGAGGATGCTGCTGCTCACTTGGTGGCTGCACTGTCTCCATTGCTGACTGTTTGTGTCTTAATTCTCAGGCCGTTCACAATTCCTCAGGTCTTGAGAACTAAAGGGCAGGAGGAAGGACAGGAGGAAGAGGAAGAGGATGAAGAGGAGGAGGAGGAGGAAGCTGAAAAGGAAAGAACAAAGGTGATACTTAGTTTGTGGTTGGAGTTGGGTTAAGATTTACTGTATGTCTTACCTGCCTCACCTCTATGGAGAGGTTTCATCTCCTTTATTCCAAAGACAGGTGATGCCAGCAGCACGCTTTGAAGGTGTCATGGTCTGCTGTCATGGATATATTGTAAATGGGGATGTTGATGGTGTTGCTGGCTGAGGAGGAAAGTCTCAGTCAGGTTTAGAGTCACTGACACCAATTCTGACGACTCAGCCAGAAGAGATAACGGACAGTGCACTGTGTTCCATGGTCCAGCAGAATCCTGTCCTGCTCTAGGCTTTGGCAGGATCTGCTGAGTTTACTGACCTCCTCCCTTCCTTCCATGGTAGGACCATTTTGTGCAGGACCCAGCAGTACTGCGGGAGCGAGCTGAAGCGCGGCGCCTGGCTTTCCTTGCGAGGAAGGGGTGAGTAAGCACCAGCCTCCATGGGGTGAAACAGTGGCTCTGCAGGTAGTAGGAGTTGTTGGAGGGTATCCTGCTCCTTAACATCCCTGTATGTCAGGGTCACTGCTGTGGTGGTGGTGAACTTCCTCACCCAGCTTCTACTTCACTGGTGGTTGTTCTGTCCCATCAAATGGGTAGGAATGTCCCTTTATCATACACAGCAGAACCCTGTGCAAGATAGGATCTGGGAGAGCACAGCTTCCTAGAGCTTGAATGGCTCCCACAGGGATTCTGGGACAGTTTAATAGCTGATTTTGGATGTCAACACATGAAGTCTGACCATGGTCCTTGTGTGGCTACTGCTGGTCTTGGCTGTTACAGAAGCCCTGCAGAGCTGGGCTGAGCCGAGGTTCAAGGCCGGATGCCCGAACTCCTCCTCACACCCACCTGCTTCCTGGGATCGGTGGATTTTTGCCCCGCCAGGGTGCAGTGTGCTGCTTGTGATGTCCTTTTCTGTGTACTTCAGGTACAAGCACGACAGCTCTGCTGTGGTTGGGAACGTGAAGGGCCACGGGCAGAACCGGGAGACGGTGCAGGAACGGAGGAAGAAGGAAGCGAACAAAAGCACAAGAGCGAACCACAACCGCCGCGCCATGGCTGACAGGAAGCGCAGTAAAGGCATGATCCCCTCCTGAGAGACTCTTCTGCCTGCTGGTGTTGCATCACCCCCAGCCCTCTGCCTGGGAGGAGGCCATTGAGCTCCATTCCCTCAGCGCTGCCTTAGCTCAGGGCTGTCATCATCACCTGGCACTTTGGCTCATGTGGAGCTGCAGGTCCTGTGGGTGCTCACAGGAAGGAGCTGCCTCTGGGCCGGCCCTGACTGCTCTCTGGGTCAGAGTGTGTATGCCCCTGGGCTGCACCAGCCCTGCCTTTCCTTTTGTACTATTTATAATTCTGAGAACTTTATTTTCCTACGGGCTCCATGCACCCTCCCCAGCACCCAGGTGGGTTTCCAGGCCCCTCCAAGAGCCAGGCTTCCCAGGAACAGCCCTCACAGCTTTCTGCTCTGCTGAAATGCCTTATCCTGAGGTACAACTGGAAGGCTGGTAGGAAAACACTGGGGCTCTTCCCGTTGTTGGCAGACACAAGAGTTCAGGTGAATAAGACCTGATAAATCTCTGTCCCTCCAGCGAGGTGTGTGAAAACAGAATGTGCAAATAAATGATTTGGATCTTTTAGTTGGTGCTTTAGGCTCTTACAAACCCTATTGATCTTTAACTGGGAGGTACCTCAACAAGCCTTTAATGTGCTGTGCCTGCAGGCACTGAAATTCACTTGCTGTTTGATGTTGGTTTAGTGTAATGAGATCTGGCTACAGCCACTGAGACGAAAGAGACCTGAAAATCGGGATCAGGGCACCGTAAGCAGTAATATGGAATTGGAGTTGAAGGCAACAGGGTCAGAGTCCCCAGGGAGCTGCTCCTCAGTAACCGCTTTATCACACTCTGTGGAGCAGAACTGCCCCAAGCATCCTGTTTGCTGTTGGAAGGCTGGGAGTTAATAGTAACCAGCAGTTTGAGGTTGCTGAAAGGACTTCTCTGGAGGGCTCTTTCATTAGGGAGCTGTTCCTCAGCAGGGAGACACAGAGTTCACTTTGTAACCTGTTTGTAAGGTGTTCAAATGCCGCGGCAGGGCTGCTACACGCCAAGCCTGGAGTAGCTGCCAGCGCTGGTGATGGAAGTGTTCCGGCTGCTGTTGGCACGGAGCGGTGGCACGTTTGGGGAGCACTGTCCCCATGCTGGAGGGGAGCTCCCCGTTACTCTGCTCCCCACCACCACTCCCTGTGGTTTGCAGCGGTGCCTGTGGCTGAGGCCACCAGCAGTGGGTGATGTTCCAGGGTGCACCCACTGGGAACACCGCAGCAGGAGCGCGCTGGCAATGAGCTCCGTAGCACGTAGGTGGCTGCCGGGTTTTACGCAGAGGGCGGGACTCCGGCGCTGTGTGATCGGTGCTGCTGCCAAAGCCGGGCTCACCTCCAAGTGTACAAGTGCTGCCGCTGCCATGCAAGTAAGATGAAGTCCTGAGAGCTCCAGACAAGATTGTTCTTTGCAACCCCAGTAATGATAAGGCAGAGGAGAAAGGGAATTACATTTACCAGCTTCCCCAGCTCCTTTGGCAGGGGAAATCAGCTGCTAGGATAACTAACTCTGCTCTTCCATAGCTGCTGTTCTCTGCACCAGTAGCTTCATTTACTCTCTGCCAGCCTGCTACAACATTTGTTTCCCCCCTCCTAATACAGATTCATCTTTAGCTGGTGCTTCTAAGCACCTGCAAATCTCTCACCTGCTCAGCACAGCGTGAAGCCCTCAGCACTGCAGGCAGAGCTGGTGGTAAAGCAGGGAGTCAGCCACGGAGTGAAATCATTCCAGGAAACCTTAAACTGTCCTCTAAAGCATCTCTTTAAAGTGCAGCTGGGGCCCTGAAAGCTGCAGTTGGTTTTTGTTCACAAACCACAAGCACGGTGTTTTTTCAAGTCCTCTGTGTTTAGACTTAAGTGATTTACTCCTGACACCGATTTGCAAACCCACTGAAGCTGCTTGCATTAGCACTGGCTCTAATCTGCTCTGCCTCAGCCACTGCTAAAATGCCTCCTGATTAGTGGAAATAATACAGTGAGGAGGGAAGAGACCTGGCTTTTCCAGGCTGCCACAGGGAGAAGAGCAGGAGTCACTCAACCAGGTCAACCACTCAGCTACCTGATTGCCTGGAGGAATTAACTGAATCCTTACTCCAATGAGTACCCCAATAGCCCTTCCCTAAGAAGGGAGAGGTGTTTGGAATGGCCACTGGGAACAGGGGTGGGCTCCTCAGTGGAGCTGCTGAGAACAACTCCTTCCCCTCGGAGTCTGCTGCTCCCAGCCAGGGGGTGCAGATCCAAGGACTCTCCTCCCCTCCCAGCAGGACAGGATGGAGGCAGGCTTGTGCCCTGCCACACCACCCTGGTGAGATACTTCCGTCCCTTGAGCCCCCCAGGCAGCCAGGATGCAGAGAGATGGCTTGGAAGGAGATTTACATCCCATTGCTGTGGGCTTTGGAGAAGCAGAAAGTTACCTGCTGTGCCCATTCTCAGCCCAGTAGTGGGTTGGAGACTGGAAGGGCTGAGGGCAAGGCAGCCTCTGGGAAAGGACACAGGCCAGGCACCAGCCCAGCCTCAGAGATGTGAGTGACAGAGGAGCACATCAATGATTCCCACTTCTCCCTGAACAAGACCAGAAGAAAGCAGACAGCTCCTTACGCCTCTCTGAAGGCTCTCATCAGACAGAAGCAATGGCAGTGGCAGTCAGACCGCAGCTGCATAAGTGCTTTCAGGTCTTTCAGACCATTTTTGGGAAGCTGTGGTTTCTTACAGTGTCTTAGAACTAAGCTGTATGTGTATTTAAGCACTTTCCTAGATGGAGATGTGGTTCTGGGCACCCTGATCTAGTTGAAGATGTCCCTGCTCATTGCAGGGGTTGGAGTGGATGAGCTGTGAATGTTCCTTTTAACCCAAACTGTCCTATGATCCTGTAAGGAGTTACAGTCAGGCCCAAGGATAAGGCAGAGGCAGGAGATGTGGACCAAGAATGTTTTATTTTAACACAGTAACTTTGAGGACAGCAGCAGAACTCCTTGAGTCCATCTTGCTTTACATCATATCAGGAGGTGGCTGATATAATCTGGCTCGGAGTTGTTCAGACAGGAACCCATTTCCATTTTGAGACAACCAGTTTCAGAAGGTCAAATCCTTCCCTGCAGTGTCTTCAGTCACCCTGGGCTGGCTCCTGCTGCTGAGCATGTCAGTCTTCACTTTGCTCATACTTGTGCTTGATGTGTTTCCACAGTTTCTGTATGCAAAACAAACCCAAACCCCCAGTCTTAGCCAGCTTTTCAGTGCTCCTGCACTTGAAAACACAAGTTATCATGACACCTATGACCACGACAAGCAGCAGCAAAAGGGGAAAGAAGCCTTTGTATGAAAACACACCCACAAGTGCCAGCAGGGTATGGGACAAAGGGGGATCCCCTCAACCTGCACCTCCCTCCCATGGTGTACACCCCACTATATGGGGGGAGCTCCAGGGGCACGAAGCTGCTTCCTGCTGTGGAAGGGATACAGTGGGACACTCCATCCTCCCACTGTGCTGTGTGTCCCTCCCACCTTCCTCGCCTTCTTTTGGGCCTTCACAAGTACAGCACCCATGGGTGGTGCTGTGCCTCAGCTCCCTACAGGCCTGGGTCTGCAGGGTGGGGCAGACACAAGCTGGGCTCAGAGCTTTCAGATGAGATGCAGGGGGAAGCCACACACATCCCGCTTGCTCTGCTCTGTGAGCTGGAGATCATTAGGGAATTCCAGTCACACTGCCTTAGCTTCCCATTCGGACTAGAAAGGGCTTTTCTGCTCCCAGAGAGACAGGATGCACAGAAAGATACTGTTCCAGGCTCTGAAATGTGCTGCAGCCATCAGAACAGAGGGAAGCACTGCACAGGGTGAGGAGTGTGCTGGGCTCTGCTATTTGTCACAGACAGTGCTTTAGATTTAAAATCCAAGTTATCATCCTCGCTAATTGCACAGAATCCCAGCCTGGTCTAGGCTGGAAGGGACCTTAAAGCTCATCCAGTCCCAACCCCTGCCACAGGCAGGGACACCTTCCACTGGAGCAGCTTGCTCCAAGCCCCTGTGTCCAACCTGGCCTTGAACACTGCCAGGGATGGGGCAGCCACAGCTTCTCTGGGCACCCTGTGCCAGCGCCTCAGCACCCTCACAGGGAAGAGCTTCTGCCTAAGAGCTCATCTCAGTCTCCCCTCTGGCAGGTTAAAGCCATTCCCCTTGGCCTGTCCCAACCTGCCCCTAGCACACGGAAAATGAATGCTATAATTAAACAAAAGTTGTAGAGCACAGAGCTGATGTTCAGATGTGATTTTATGTCAGCTTTTAACTGCTGCTAAAAAGAAGGGGGCAAGGCCCCTGCTCTTACTCTCTGCTGTGTCTGCAGCTCACCCAAGCCCTGGTGACCCCCACGGCAGTGAAGATGCTGCTGAGGAGCAGGGAAGGCACAGGCCAGCTCTACTCAACTACTAAGGTGCCCTTGGTGCTCCGAGGATAGCAGCAGGGCACAGAACCCTGTGCTGCAGGTGGGGACGTGCAACACGCCAAGCTGCCCTGGAAGTGACAGTGCATTCCGCTGCGGGAACCTTCCACGTCCTGTGCAGGACAGCAGCAGAGCACACCACCGCAGCCCTCACCGGGCTCCGCTACCGGCAGCCCCCGCAACCCAACGCCTCTGCTCCCTTCACCCCAGCGGCCCCGGAGCGGGCCCTGCGGCAAGGCCTCAGCCTGACCTTCAGGGCCCGGCCTACCCCGGGGCGACCCCGCCGCCCTCCTCCCGCCCTTACCCCCTCGTTGAGGCGCTCGAAGAGGGCGTCCGCGCCCTGGTCGAAGACGCGCTCGAAGAGAACGGCGCCGAGGACGATGGTGAGGGCGAAGGTGGAGGTGCGGCGGAACAGCGCGCTGTACGCCTGCCGCAGCAGCGCCATCTTCACCGCGCTCTGCGCAGGCGCGCGCTGCTGCCGCGGGGCATTGTGGGGACTGTAGGCGCCGGGCCTGCTGCGCGCCGCCGCGCCGCGGTGCATTGTGGGAGTTGTAGGCGCGGGGCCTGGTGGAGAGGAGCGGTCCGTGAGGTAAAACCGGCCCCGAGAGCGCGTCCCGGGGGGTTCCGGGTCTGGGTTCGGCTGCGGTGAAGTCGGGAGCGCCGGGTGGGCTCTGCTCCGGCGGCGGGACGGGCCTGGTGTCGGCTGGGGAGGAGAACGGGGGAAGTGGTGGTGGTTTCTGGCTGTTCGGGTCGTTGCGGAGGGCGGTGAGGGCCGTGGTGGCTTTAACCTGCCCGAAGGGAGACTGAGCTGAGTTCTGAGGCAGAAGCTCTTCCCTGTGAGGGTGCTGAGGCGCTGGCACAGGGTGCCCAGAGAAGCTGTGGCTGCCCCATCCCTGGCAGTGTTCAAGGCCAGGTTGGACACAGGGGCTTGGAGCAAGCTGCTCTAGTGGAAGGGGTCCCTGCCCGTGGCAGGGGTTGGAGCTGGAGGAGCTTTAAGGTCCCTTCCAACCCAAACCATTCTGTGGTTCTATGACCTCAGCCAAGGACCGTTCTAAACTCATTAACAGCATACAAAAAGGTCCATGGGAAGCACAGTCTGCCAGCGCGGT